CTCGGGAGTGCAGTGGGAGTTCCCGCTGCACTCCGGGGGCTTCAGCGAAAGCAATGTGAAGCCTCCGAAGCACGGAGGGAGCGCTCCCTCTGCACTTCGGAGGCTTTGCGTTGCTATCACTGAAGCCAAGGAGCCTGCATTCGCTCCATAGGACGCACACACATTTCCCCTTAATTTTTGGAGGGGAAAAAGTGTGTCCTACAGAGCGAAAAATATGGTAAATCAGGATAAAGAAAACATGGCTTCTCTCCTTGTCGTCTTCTCGGAGAGACAGTAAAAACAAAAGCAATACAGAACGGAAGTTCTGCTCACCTCAGCAATCTGTGCTGGAATGTAAACAGACAAGTGACATGCAACAATCCACATATCTGCAGCAAAAGGTGGAATGGAATTCCCAACAAAACCCACCCCATTCCTTTCTCCCTTATGTGTGACTGGTTGACATGGGCTGGTGTGAAGAACAGTAAAGCAATCCACTTGGAGGCAGTGGCGTAGCAAGTGGGGGGTGGGTCCGTGGCCCTAGGCGCATTTTTAAAGAGAGCAACCAGGAACCCCCATGGCAAGATCCCTCATCGAGGCCAGAGCCATGGGGAGAGAAGCTGCACCCAAGCTGAACCTTAGGGGCTGGGGTGGCAGAGTCTCCTTCTCCTTGCGGCCGGCAAAGGGATGCCTGCTGGCACCCCCAAGGAGGAAGCCAGAGGGTGTGACACGGGGGTGGAAGCAGCAGAGAGGGTGTGGCAGCATCACTGCAACTCTCTTCCACCTGACTTTGACCCACCAACTGTGCTTGGGCAAGGCCCCACTGTCGTGAGTTGCTTGCAAAAGGTCCCTGCTTAAAACACTCTAGGTAGGGTTAGGAAAGACTCTTGTCTGAAATGCCAGAGATTTGCTGCCCATCAGTTTACAGCATACTTTTTCAGCAGGGGGCCAGTCCACTATCCCTCAGACATTGTGGGGGGCCTGACTATATATATATATATATATATATATATATATATATATATATATATATGGGGAATGAACAAATTCCTATGCCCCACAAATAACCCAGAGATGCATTTTAAATAAAAGGACACATTCTACTCATGTAAAAAGACGCTGATTCCCGGATCGTCCACGGGCTGGATCTAGAAGGCGATTGGGCCGGATCCGGCCCCAGGGCCTTAGCTTGCCTACCCATGGTTTAGACAATATCAAGCAAGATGAATCTGTGATCTCACTTGGTGTAAAAGGTAAAGGACCCCTGGATGGTTAAGTCCAGTCAAAGGCGAATATTGGGTTGCTGTGCCCATCTCACTTTCAGGCCGAGGGAGCTGGCATTTGTCCACAGACAGATTTGCGGGTCATGTGGCCAGCAGGACTAAACCGCTTCTGGCGCAACAGAACACCGTGACGTAAGAACACTGGTGGCCCTGTGGTCTAAACCACTGAGCCTCTTGGGCTTGCCAATCAGAAGGTCAGCAGTTTGAATCTGCACGATGGGGTGAGCTCCCATTGCTCTGTCCCAGCTCCTGCCAACCTAGCAGTTCAAAAGCACTTCAAAGTGCAAGTAGATAAATAGGTACCACTGCAGTGGGGAGGTAAATGGCATTTCTGTGTACTCTGGCTTCTGTCATGGTGTCCTGTTGTGCCAGAAGCAGTTTAGTCCTGCTGGCCGCAAGACCCGGAAAGCTGTCTGTGGACAAACACCAGCTCCCTCAGCCTGAAAGCGAGATGAGCACCGCACCCCATAGTCTCTTTTGACTGCACTTAACCATCCAGGGGTCCTTTACCTTTTTTACCTTAAAGGAGCTTTCCATTTTCATGTTGTTGATCCCAGAGGGGCAGATCCGTGCACACACCTTGCATTTCACCCCCAAGGGTCCTTGCAATAGACAAAGCTACCTTACTCCCCCCCTCCATCATGATGAGAGACATTTTGATAGCTAATAACCATAATATTATTTAATTTAGTGATAGAACTTCACTGCAGGATATTAGGGATGGGGGTGGCAGTGGGGACTGTCATTATAGCCAGAAAAACGCCAAAGAAGAAACCCTGTAATTAGACTAATTTAGCATCTCCTCTTTATTGAGACGGCATGCTGTGCATTTACAGAAGTCAGTGGGAAATACAGCTCAGTGCTTTGGTATAATACACCTGTCTAAAGTGCATTATATTTGTGCCTCCTCGCTTTCGTTTGCTCATAACCTATAATAATTTTTGAGGCCATGATGCATTATTAAATATGATTGGATCAATAGCGCAGTTGCTGCAGAGCAGTCGGAACATGATACATCATTCCAATAAAACATCAGTACATGAGGTCCTTTTAGTCCTTCAGGTGGATTAAAAAGGCTGCATTATATTTAGGACATAATTTCCCTTTATGTATGCCAATGCATGAATCTGAAATGGTCCTCCTCGTTGTATAATGAAGAACATAAAAGACGATCATTTGGATCTGTTGGGACCAAGATTTAATGGGACGGTACAGAGCAGGTTGAAGGAAAAATAGGACCCTCTCTGCCCCTAAATACATCTAGAGAGGTGTGTGTTAGGGAAGTAAAACAAGCTGGTCAGACTTCTGGTCAGACCTCACCTGGAGTACTGTGTCCAGTTCTGGGCACCACAGTTCAAGAAGGACACTGACAAACTGGAACGTGTCCAGAGGAGGGCAACCAAAATGGTCAAAGGCCTGGAAACGATGCCTTATGAGGAACGGCTAAGGGAGCTGGGCATGTTTAGCCTGGAGAAGAGGAGGTTAAGGGGTGATATGATAGCCATGTTCAAATATATAAAAGGATGTCACATAGAGGAGGGAGAAAGGTTGTTTTCTGCTACTCCAGAGAAGCGGACATGGAGCAATGGATCCAAACTACAAGAAAGAAGATTCCACCTAAACATTAGGAAGAACTTCCTGACAGTAAGAGCTGTTTGACAGTGGAATTTGCTGCCAAGGAGTGTGGTGGAGTCTCCTTCTTTGGAGGTCGTTAAGCAGAGGCTTGACAACCATATGTCAGGAGTGCTCTGATGGTGTTTCCTGCTTGGCAGGGGGTTGGACTCGATGACCCTTGTGGTCTCTTCCAACTCTGTGATTCTATGATTCTAAGCTTCTGCAGGCAAATCCCTTCTTGAGTTGGTCTGAGCATTCAGGTAGGTTATTCAGGCTCCGTCCTCTCTCCCACGCTTTTTAATATCTATATGAAGCTGCTGGGAGAGATCATCAGGGGGTTTGGGCTGGGTGTTCATCAGTATGCAGCTGATACCCAGCTCTCTTTTAAATCAGAACCAGTAAAGGCGGTGAAGGTCCTGGGTGAGTGCCTGGAGGTGGTTGGAGGATGGATGGTGGCCAACAGATTGGGGTTGAATCCTGACAAGACAGAAGTACTGTTTTTGGGGGACAGGGTGTGGGCGGGTGTGGGGGACTCCCTGGTCCTGAATGGGGTAACTGTGCCCCTGAAGGACCAGGTACGCAGCCTGGGAGTCATTTTGGACTCGCAGCTGTCCATGGAGGTGCAGGTTAATTCTGTGTCCAGGGCGGCTGTCTACCAGCTCCATCTGGTACGCAGGCTGAGACCCTACCTGCCCACGGACTGTCTCGCAAGAGTCGTGCATGCTCTAGTTATCTCCCGCTTGGACTATGGCAATGCGCTCTACGTGGGGCTACCTTTGAAGGTGACCCGGAAACTGCAATTAATCCAGAATGTGCCAGCTAGACTGGTGACTGGGAGCGGCTGCTGAGACCACATAGCACCGGTCTTGAAAGACCTACACTCGTTCCCAGTACGTTTCCAAGCACAATTCAAAGTGTTGGTGCTGACCTTTAAAGCCCTAAATGGCCTAGGTCCTGTATACCTGAAGGAGCGTCTTCACCCCCATCGTTCAGCCCAGACACTGAGATCCAGCACCGAGGGCCTTCTGGCGGTTCCCTCATTGTGAGGTTACAGGGAACCAGACAGAGGGCCTTTTGGTAGTGGCGCCCACCCTGTGGAACACCCTCCCTTCAGATGTGAAGGAAATAAGCAGCTATCTTCTTTTTAAAAGACACCTGAAGGCAGCCCTGTTTAGGGAAGGTTTTAATATTTAATGCTGTATTTTTTTTAACACTTGATTGGAAGCCGCCCAGAGTGGCTGGGGAAACTCAGCCAGATGGGTGGGGTATAAATAATAAATTATTATTATTATTATTATTATTATTATTATTATTATTATACAGGCGCAGAACCAAACTTCCAAACCCTACAGTGGTTTAGTGGTTAGAGAGTCAGACTAGGACTTGTGAGACCAGGGTTCAAGTCCCCACACATCCATGAAGCTCACTGGGTGACCTTGGGCCAGTCACTGTGTCCTTTCAGCCTAACCTGCCCCACAGGTTTGCTGTGGGGATAAAATGTGGGGGAGGGCCTTGTATGCCGCCTTGAGCTCCTTGGAGTATGGGGTATAAATGGAAGAAATAAAAAATCTGTGTGCCAGGGACCCTGGCAAGCAGGGTTTATCATGATTCCGTCAATGAAAACAGTGGGCAAACTTCTCCCAGGGCCTGAATTGGAAGTGGAAAAGGAAGTGATGTGGTTAAGCCAGACTCAGTTATGTTCACTTTAAGATAAGTAGGGTAGCTGTAGGTCTAGGAGAAGGGGCGTAGGATGGCATCCCACCCCATTTTGAGCAGTGGCTTGCCTGGAAGAGCAGAAAATGTAGAAAATGTAAGAACAGACCTCCCTTGAAAAACAAATTCCCTATAGAGCAAAGTTTTTAATGTTTGATGTTTTGTTGGAACCTGCCTGAGTGTCTGGGGCAACCCAGTCAGATCTGTGGGGTACGAGTACAGTGGTACCTCGGGTTACATACTCTTCAGGTTACATACGCTTCAGGTTACAGACTCCGCTAACCCAGAAATAGTACCTCAGGTTAAGAACTTTGTTTCAGGATGAGAACAGAAATCACGCGGCAGCAGCAGGAGGCCCCATTAGCTAAAGTGGTGCTTCAGGTTAAGAACAGTTTCAGGTTAAGAACGGACCTCCGGAACGAATTAAGTACTTAACCCGAGGTGCCACTGTAGTAATAATAATAATAATAATAATAATAATACAGTGGTACCTCGGGTTAAGAACTTAATTCATTCTGGAGGTCTGTTCTTAACCTGAAACTGTTCTTAACCTGAGGTACTACTTTAGTTAATAAGGCCTCCCACTGCTGCTGCGTGGCGGCAGCACAACTTCTGTTCTCATCCTGAAGCAAAGTTCTTAACCTGAGGTACTATTTCTGGGTTAGCGGAGTCTGTAACCTGAAGTGTCTGTAACCTGAAGCATCTGTAACCAGAGGTACCACTGTAATAAAAAATAAAAAATAGGCATTTCACCTCCTTTGAAACTGCAGGAAAGTGATAGATGTCTTCTAGGACATTCTCTCAATTAGTACATTAGCAGATGGGGTCAACGTCTGGTTTCTATTCTGTGCGAACTGAATGTACACCATACAATATATCCCAGAATCCTTTGCAGCCTACCACAGAGCCTATCCACGACCGTAATACTAGGGCTGCCATACGTCTGGGATTAATAACAGGGATGTGCCATATCACTGAAGTCCATATGTGCAAGCGCTTTTATGCTCTTACCCTATTAATTTTCTTGAGGAATTCTGTCCTATATTCCTGTAATCGGCCTTCAGCATTTCACCATGCCTCACCATGCATTGACTTTGCAAGGAGGACAGGAGAAGAAGGGGATTTTGCTGGCTCTCAGCCATTTCCTTTTGAATTCATGTGGACTTGCAGATTCTTGCAATAAAAGCCCCTAAGGCTTACATCTTCTGTTTTCTTCTCTATTTTAAAAGCACTGCCCAAGGCATGGTAGATTTTACTTATTAATTTCTTGGTTGCAAGTGTAGAAGTGGTGCCTGATTTTCTGCAGCATTCAGGGATGTCCATCTTTTTGGCATCGTAATATTTAAATTAAGCTGCATTAAAAATAATTACTTCTCTTTCCTGTTAAAACAAAGCACATTCTTCTCTTGCCCTTCTCCAGAAGGTAATTTCCCTTGCTCAAGGTTTTTCTGACCGGGGATTTAAAAAGTTGCGTTACACTAAAAGAAATTGCTAAAGTTTTTGATTTGCCCTCTGGCAAAATTTGCATCTGTTCTGTACCGTTGGGAAACAAAGGCCAATGAATGGAGTGGGAAAGTATCATGATTTACAGGATATCTTCTCTATTTGAAGGTGTCCAACTTGGGTGGGAAGAGGGCTGTACTGAGTCTCATTCAAAGCTCCTTCTGATGGATCATTATTTGCGTGCGTATTCAGAACTGAAATTCCAAACCAAAATTATATCACGTTTAACATCCAAGCGTTGCAATTTTGCCCATTTTTTTGAATGTTAACAATATTACATTTGAAGTCTTTTTAATTGTGCATTTCAATGTGCATTGAACGACCTACAGTGGTACCTCGGGTTACAGACGCTTCAGGTTACAGATTCTGCTAACACAGAAATAGTACCTCAGGTTAAGAACTTTGCTTCAGGATGAGAACAGAAATTGTGCCATGGCGGCACAGCAGCAGCTGGAGGCCCCATTAGCTAAAGTGGTACCTCAGGTTAAGAACAGTTTCAGGTTAAGAACAGACCTCCGGAACGAATTAAATTCTTAACCTGAGGTACCACTGTATTACCAGGGTTATGTACTTTGTTGAGGCAGCTAGACTGGTGACTGGGAATGGCCACTGAGACCATATAACACAGGTCCTGAAAGACCCACATTGGCTCCCAGTACATTTCTGAGCACAATTCGAAGTGTTGGTGCTGACCTTTAAAGCCCTAAACGAACTCGGTCCAGTATACCTGAAGGAGCATCTCCACAACCATCATTCAGCCCAGACACTGAGGTCCAGCTCCAAGGGTCTTCTGGCAGTTCCCTCACTGCAAGAATTGAGTTTACAGAAAACCAGGCAGAGGGCCTTCTTGGTAGTGGCACCCACCCTCTGGAACGCTCTCCCATCCGATGTCAAGGAAATAAACAACTGACTTGTAGAAGACATCTGAAGGCAGCCCTGTTTAGGGAAGTTTTTAATGTTTGATGTTTTATCGCATTTTTAATATTATGTTGGGAGCCACCCAGAGTGGCTGGGGAAGCCCAGCCAGATGGGCAGGGTATGAATAATTAATAGCTATTATTATAAATTATTATTATTTTTGGAAGAGCAGTGTGAGTGCAACAGCAATCCTACACCTTCAGAAGTGAGCCCCAGTATGTTGAATGGAACTTAGGTAAGTGGTTATTGGGCTGCCGCAATGGTGAATGGATGAAATATAGTTTTCTGTGAGGTTTGCTTTACAAGCGGGCAGAGATGAATCCCTTGTTCCCGCTCCCTATTTCTGCTTTAAGTCGATGAGTCATTCAAGTGCTCATGAAGCATAAGGTTATTTAAAGTTATTCCTGACTGCTTTGTCAATAGAGTTTCGAAATTTAGTCTTTGAAAGTCATTTAATGTAATTACTAAGATACATAACTTTTAGAAATGAGACATTAACTCTGCGTTTATGATATTTAATGGCTTTGGTGTATGGACAGCATGCATGTAAATGGGAAATTTCATAAGCAGTATTGAGGATTACAATACTTCACGTCCTTTCCTACATGACTTTGGGGGAATCAGCAGCAAATCAATGTGAAAGGATGAGTTATAGATTATAAAAATCCAAAGAGCTTGTCCAATAAATAACAGCGCTAAGAATCTACTTTTCAGTTAATATTTGAAATGGAAGAATATTCTAAAAAGTTTGAGATCAGTGATCTCTGGCTCTTTTTATTTGATTGATTTATAAACTTTGTAAGTCACTTCCCCAGTTCAGATGCTTGAGTGGTCAAAGTGGTACATGAATTTAAAAATGAGTAACAGCCTGTAAAGGGACGCGGGTGGCGCTGTGGGTTAAACCACAGAGCCTAGGACTTGCTGATCAGAAGGTCAGCGGTTCAAATCCCCGCGACGGGGTGAGCTCCTGTTGCTCGGTCCCTGCTCCTGCCAACCTAGCAGTTCAAAAGCATGTCAAAGTGCAAGTAGATAAATAGGTACCGCTCTGGCGGGAAGGTAAATGGCGTTTCCAGAAGCGGCTTAGTCATGCTGGCCACATGTACACCAGCTCCCTCGGCCAATAAAGCGAGATGAGTCCCGCAACTCCAGAGTCGGCCATGACTGGACCTAATGGTCAGGGGTCCCTTTACCTTTTTTTTTAACAACCTGTAAGCAGCACAGACAATCAAAAGTTGCAACAGCACCAGAATGAAACAGTTACTCTTGTTGGAGAGACTATCAAAGCAAACCTTGAAAGGGCCTATAAGCCACTGACAAAACTGTACGAAGGATGGGACCAGCAACTACAGTTCCTTTCCGAAACAGTTTGAATGGAAAGGTGCCACGTCCGAGAAAGGGAAGATACATGATACATGAAGGCAGAGCTGCATTTGCTGTTCTTAGTGTATTCTTTACTTTGGCGATCACTCGTAGGCGAGTATGATTGTCTTCCATAAACATGGTTTTAACAGTGAGTCCGTAAGTGACTGTGGAGGCCAATTCTGGACCCACACGTCCTTCCACAGTGGGGGTGTAGGTTTCTGGGTGGGAGTTGATCACGGTGAGGGTTTGCCAAACACGCCTTCCTCTTGGCTCGTTTCTCCCTTTCATCCTGAGTTTAAGCGTCTTCAAAGCCCATGACACCTTTGGTAAAGGTTGTTCTCCAGTTGGACCACTCACAGGCCAGTGTTTCCCAGTTGTTGGTGTTTATACTACACTTTTTTAGATTTGCCTTGAGAGTCTTTGAACCTCTTTTGTTGGCAACTGGCATTACTCTTTCCATTTTTAAGTTCGAAGTAGAGTACAGTGGTACCTCGGCTTACATACGCTTCAGGTTACATATGCTTCAGGTTACACACTCCGCTAACCCAGAAATAGTGCTTCATGTTAAGAACTTTGCTTCAGGATGAGAACAGAAATCATGTTCAGGCGGCGCGGCAGCAGCAGGAGGCCCCATTAGCTAAAGTGGTGCTTCAGGTTAAGAACAGTTTCAGGTTAAATACGGACCCCCAGAACGAATTAAGTACTTAACCCGAGGTGCCACTGCAATTGCTTTGGAAGACGATAATCAGGCATCTGCACAACATTTTTTTCGCTCCCCCCCCCCTTTTTCTAAGCCGCTAAGCCGCTAATAGCCTTTTAGCAGCTAATCCGCTAAGCCGATAAGCCTTTAATAGCCGCTAAACCGCTAATAGCGCTAAGCCGCTAAGCCGCTAATAGGGTTGCTTCGCAAGACGAAAAAACCGCTAGACGAAGACACTCGCGGAACGGATTAATTTCGTCTTGCGAGGCACCACTGTATCTCTAGATAGGAATAATTGCATGCAAATTTTAGTCCTTTTTTTGGGTGGTGCATAAGTGGCAACCATAGCCTGGTGAGTCCCTTGCTACCTGAGAATGTGCAGTAGAATACCCCCCAGAATCCTTTGCAATGCACATCCTCAGTAGACAAAGTGAGCAAAAATGACACACCACCTATGCAGCTGGTCACAGCTTCTGCTGAGGGCCAAGTGGTTAGAGTGGCAATCAAAATGACCCCCAGCTGTGCTGTTGCAAAAAACAGGAACAAGGAAAGTTCCATTCATTAGCTGCCATCTGTCATCTACTTTGGCTTTCTGATCTTTCTTCTAGGTAGGAATCAACGGGGTGGACTTCGGTAATATGATATCCTGAGTGAGGACAAAATTTGGCACCCCCTCCTAATATATAAGGAGCTTGTGGTGGACTTCAGGAGACAGAAGAGCAACGTCCAGCCACTTTTGATTGATGGGGTCTGTGTGGAGAGGGTAACAACGTTCAGATTTTTGGGCATTGAATTACAAGAGGATCTGTCCTGGAGTGTCAACACAAGGGGCTTGTGAAGAAGGCGCAGCAGAGACTGTACTTTTTGAGAATACTAAGGAAAAACCATCTTCCGCAGAAACTGCTGCTTGCCTTCTATCACTGTGCCACTGAGAGCGTGCTCACTTATGGCTTATGTGTGTGGTACGGAAGCTGTACTACCCAGGACAGGATGGGGTTGTGCAGGGTTGTTAAGGCAGCAGAGAGCATTGTTGGCTGCCCACTCTCCA